TTTTTTTCTTTTTGCTTATGTGGTGCTGAGGAATCGAACCCAGGGCCTCAGGCATGCAAGGCAAGCGCTCTACCACTGAGCCACCTTCCCAGCCCCTGCCCTACACCTTTTACATGCATTATATCATTTGATACTTAGAACTGCTCAGTTCCAGAGAGATAGTAGCATCATTATGCAAATTTTATAGATAAGTAGTAACTTGCTCCAGGTCACTTATGGGGAGGAGCAGAGCTGGAACTTGAATTTAGTTTGTCTGACTGCAGTGTCTGTTTTCTTTTGTTGCCACAGAGACCTTTAGAAGAGATCTGAGTGTGCCCTTGCCATGTCCAGCAAAGGATCTCAGACCCCTCATTAGGTGATGGATGAGCCTTGCTGGGGTAATTCATTGGTAGAGCAAGACTCAGAGGAGATTTTCTGTTTGAGTTAGGGATGAAAGCAAATGCTTTCACAGGCTCAGAGACCTCCCTCCCTCCAGTAGAACAGAGGACCATGATTTAGGTGATAGTTTTTTGTTTTGTTTTTGTGTATGTGTGCCAATACTGGAGCTTCAACTTGGGGCTTGGGTGCTGTCCAGAGATTTTTTCTTTTCTTTTTTCGCCAATCCTAGGGCTTGAACTCGGGGCCTGGGCACTGTCCCTGAGCTTCTTTTGCTCAAGGCTAGCATTCTACCACATGAACCATAGCACCACTACCAGCTTTTTCTGTTTATGTGGTACTGAGGAATTAGACCCAAGGCTTCATGCATGGTAGGCAAGCATTCTACTACTAAGCCACATTCCCAGCCCAAGTCTGGAGATTTTTTTTTTTTGCTTGAAGCTAGCACTCTACCACTTGAGCAATAGATCTATTGTCTGACTTTGTACTGGTTATTTGAATATAAAAGTCTAATGGAGGGCTGGGAAGGTGGCTTAGTGGTAGAGTGCTTGCCTTGCATCGAACCCTGAGTTCGATTCCTCAGTACCACATAAGCAAAAAAACCCGGAAGTGGTGCTATGGCTCACATGGTAGAGTGCTAATCTTAAGCTGAAGAGCTGAAGGACAGTGCCCAGGCCCAGAGTTCAGGCCCCATGACCAACAACAAAAAAAAAAGTCTCATGGACCTTGCTGCCCATGCTGGCTCTGAACCACAATCCTCAGATCTCAGCCTCCTGAGGAGCTAGAATTACAGACATAATTCACTAGCACCTGGCATGAATTAGGTTTCTTTGTTTTGTTTTGTTTTTGTTTTTGTGGTCAGTCGTGGGGCTTGAACTCTTGGCTTGGATGCTGTCCCTGAGCTCTTAAGCTCAAGGAAGTGAGTGCTTTATCACTTGAGCCACAGCACCACCTGTTTTCTAGTGGTTTATTGGAGATAAGAGTCTCATGACTTTACTGCCCCGGACTTTCCTGCTCCAGCTGGCTTTGAACCATGATCCTCAGAACTCAGCTTCCTGCATAGCTAGGATTACAGGCATTACCACCGGGTGCCTGACTTTTAAAACAGATTTTGATGTCCGGCATCGGGTGGCTTACGCCTGTAATCCTACCTGCTCAGGAGGCTGAGATCTGAGAATCGTAGTTCGAAGCCAGCCCAGGTAGAAAAGTCGATGAAACTCTTATCTCTAATAAACCAATAGAAAACTGGAAGTGGTTCTGTGGCTCAAGTGGTAGAATGCTCTCATTGAATTGAAGAGCTGAGGGACAGTGCCCAAGCCCCAGAGTTCAAGTTAGTTAGGAACAAAGTACTTTAATTACAATATAATTACCAAATTATCTTCCTAATTCCACTTTTAAATAAAAACTTTAATCATAGCTAGGATTACAGATGCAAGCCACTGGTACGTGGAAAATTATCTAAATTATGTGTGTTGTCAACTAAGAAGCTTCCCTAACAAGGGAAAATAAGGGCTTCGTGCTCAAGGTTCCATCCCCAACACCATATTCAAACAGGTATGTATTAGGCACTGGTGGCTCATGCCTATAATCCTAGCTACTCAGGAGGCTGAGATTTGAGGATCACAGTTCAAAACCAGCCCAGGAAGGAAAGTCGTGAGACTCTTATCCTCAGTTAACCACCAGAAAATGGGAAGTAGATCTGTGGCCCAATTGTTAGAGTTCTCGCCTTGAGCTCAAGAGCTGAGGGACAGCACCCTGGCCCAGAGTACAAGCCCCATGACTGACCAAAAAAAAAAAAAAGTATGTGTGTATGTACGCACATATACATGTATTCATATGTTTATGTGTGTCAATCTATATACATATATAGACTCATCTCTAGTTAATCACCAAAAAAGCCAGAAGTGGAGCTGTGGCTCCAGTAATTGAGTTCTAGCTTTGAGCAAAAAAGTTCAGGGAGGGCTGGGATGTAGCTCAGTGGCAAAGCACTTGCCTAGCAAGCGCAACGTCCTGGGTTCGATTCCCAGTACCAAAAAAGAAAAGACAAAAAAAAAAAAAAAAGTTCAGGGACAGTGTCCATACCCTGAGTTCAAGCCCCAAGACAAGCACCAAATAAAAAAAAAAAAAAAGAGTCACACTGCCTTGAAAAGCAAATTCAGTTCTTTTTAGTTTTCTAGATACTTCAGTTGAAAAAGACATAAACTAAATGGCAGAGCGTTGTAGTTTAATATACAAGGTGTTTTCTTTATCATAGCCTCAGTTTCCTTATCTGCCTGGTGCCAAATGAGTATCAAATAAGTCGGGTAGGGGCTGGGAAGGTGGCTCAGTGGTAGAGCGCATGCCTTGCATGCCAGAGGCCCTGGGTTCGATTCCTCAGCACCACATAAGCAAAAAGAAAAAAAGCCAGAAGTGTCGCTGTGGCTCAAGTGGTAGAGCGCTAGCCTTGAGCTGAAGAGCTGAAGGACATTGCCCAGGCCCAGAGTTCAGGCCCCATGACCAGACCCAAAAAACAAAACAAACAAATAAGTCGGGTACATAGAAGCTCTTTATAACTAGTTTAGGGTTATACAAATGTGGGTTGTTGGTATAACCTGGATATCAACATAATTCTAATTTTGTTCACCAGCAACTTATGAATCAGCACTGTTCTACCAACTACAAGAAATAAAGGAAGTTCAACGAGATGAAGCTCTCCAGCTGCCCGAAGACCTGGATTATTTGACTATCAGAGATGTGTCTTTATCTGATGAAGTTCGAGAGAAGTTGCATTTCAGTCGTCCACAGACAGTAAGAAAATAGTGGGGGAAGTGTGGGTGTAGCTCAAGTGGTAGAGTGCTCGCTTTGAGCTGAAGAGCTGAGGGACAGTGCTCAGGCCCAGAGTTCAAGCCCCACGACCAACAAAAAGTAAAACAAAAAAACAAAAACAAAAAAACTGTCATCTGAGGGGCTGGGAAAGTGGCTCAGTGGTAGAGTGTTTGCCTTACATGCATGAGGCCCTGGGTTCGATTCCTCAGCACCACATAAGCAGAAAAAGCTGGAAGTGGCACTGTGGCTCAAGTGGTAGAGCACTATCCTTGAGCTGAAGAGCTGAGGGACAGCGCCCAGGCCCAGAGTTCAGGCCCCACGACCGCCAAAAAAAAAAAAAAAAGAAAATAGTGGGATGAGAACAAGTTATAAATAAAGAACCAGTGCTGGGGGGGGCCGGGGAGGAGGAGTTGGGGAGATAGGAAAGGAAAGGATGGTAGGGGAAAAAGGAGGAGGTAACAGTGCTCCATAGGAAATGTACTCATTACTCATGTAACTGTAACTCCTCTGTACAGTATTTTTACAATAAAAAACATATATGGAAGAAAAGGAAAAAAAAAAAAAAACAGTGCTTGGGGCTGGGAAGGTGACTCAGTGGTAGAGTGCTTGCCTTGCATGCATGAGGCCCTGGGTTCAATTCCTCACCACCACAAAAGCTGAAAACGCCAGAAGTAGCACTGTGGCTCAAGTGGTAGTGTGCTAGCCTTGAGCTGAAGAGTTGAGAGACAGCGCCCAGGCCCAGAGTTCAGGCCCCACAACCGGACCCAAAAAAAAAAAGAAGAAGCTTAAGGACAGGGGCTGGGAAGGTGGATCAGTGGAAGAGCGCTTGCTTTGCATGCATGAAGCCCGGGGTTCGATTCTTCAGCACCACATAAACAGAAAAAGACCGAAATGGTGCTATGGCTCAAGTGGTAGAGCATTAGCCTTGAGCTGAAGAGCTGAGGGACAATGCCCAGGCCCAGAGTTCAAGCCCCAGGATGAGCAAAAAAAAAAGAAAAAAAGATCAGCCTTGAGTAAAATCGTTAAGGACAGCACCCAGCCCCTGAGTTCATGCCCCCTGAACAAAGAAGGAAGGAAAAAGATAATAACTTAAAAATATATAATCTTTGTGCGGTGGTATATGTCTGTATTCCCAGCTACTTGAAGGACTTGATGCCAGGCTAGGAGACCAGACCCCAGTTCCGAAAGCTAAATATTTTAACATAGGCTTAATTTATAAGCTACACTATAAAGTTGCTGTAACTTAGAGAATGGAAGTGATTTGACATGGCTGGCTCCTGTTGTGCTTTAATCCTTTAGATCGGGGCTGCCAGTCGGATACCTGGAGTGACGCCTGCTGCCATTGTCAACCTGCTCAGATTCGTGAAGACGGCTCAGCAGAGACAGGCAGCTGCACAGGAACTGCCCCCAGCTAAGCCGTGCCCACCTGCTGCACATACGTTTCAAGAGCTCTAGCTGGGGCTGGGAAGGTGGCTCAGTGGTAGAGCGCTTGCCTTGCATGCCTGAGGCCCTGGGTTCCATTCCTCAGCACCACATAAGCAGAAAAAGCTGGAAGTAGCACTGTGGCTCAAGTAGTAGCTTGCTAGCCTTGAGCTGAAGAGCTGAGGGACAATGCCCAGGCCCAGAGTTCAGGCTCCACGACCAACAAAAACAAAACAAAAAAAAGCTATAAACCATTTACTCTTTTCCTTGGAAACTCTAATGCAGTGACCCTACTGTATGCCCTAATATATAACATTCAGCAAAGAAAGATGATAGACCAAAACTCAACCTGAAGCCGGGTATGATTCTACACATATGTAATCTAACACTCAGAAAGGAGGCTAAAGCAGGATGATCATGCGTTCAGTGCTGGTTTACCCAGTGAGACTGTTTCAAAAAAATAAAAAGAGCCGAATCCGGGCACCAGTGGCTCACGCCTGTAATCCTAGCTACTCAAGAGGCTGAGATCTGAGGATCACCGTTCAAAGCCAGCCCAGACAGGAAAGACCTCGTGAGACTCTTTATCTCCAATAAACTACTAGAAAGCCCGAAGTGGTGCTGTGGCTCAAACTGTAGAGTGCAGGGACAGCGCCCAAACCCAGAGTTCAAGCCCCATGACTAACCAAAAAAAAAAAAAAGCCAAGTACTAGTGATTTACACCTATAATTCTGTCTACCCAGGAGGCTGAGATCTGAGGATCATGGTTCAAAACCAGCCCAGGCAAGAAAGTCTGTGAAACTCTTATCTCCATAAAGTATCCAGAAAAAGCCAGAGGTAGCATTGTGGCTCAACTGTTAGAATGCTAGCCTTGAAAAAAAAAATCTCAAAGACAGTGAGTACCCATGCCCTAAGTTCAAGCCATAAAACTGGAAAAGGGCAAAGCAAGCAAGCAAGCAACCTAAACCTGAAAAGAAAACTATCAATATACAGATTTGCCTACTCACAGAAGTAATTTGCTTACAGGTTTATCTGGATGTAATCTGTTTTGAAAGAATCTTTTGCCTGGTTATATAGGTCAAGCTTGATGATTATTAGGCCTGAAAATTGAGACTTCAGTATCATCAAGAATCATTCAGGTAATTTCTAATTTTAGAAGTGATAGGTACGGTGCAAATGGATTGAGATTTCTGTACTTGAATTCAAGAAAGCTCTTGGAAATAGATCAGAAATCACTTGTTTCCAACCTGCACAATGTAGAAACTTGATAACCTGATTAAGAGAATAAAGGTAGTCATTCTCAGTCATACAATAAAGTTATTTTCTTCTGAAAGAGTCTTGGCCATGATTTACACTGAAGACAGGTTCTAGTGCCTAGTAAATAGCATGTCCTAGTTTTGAGGTCAGAGTTGAGTTTTTAATGGATAGCATGCGGATGGGGCTGGATCATTTGCTGGCTCCTGGCACAGTGCCTTTCTGGGTATCAGGGAGGTGACATAACCACTTGGGCCAGCCAACCCTGCCTGCCTTGGAATGGCAGCCTAGATCTGTCAGCCTGGAGAGACTGGGCTAAACAGGTGCTTGGGAGAGGTTCCAGGGCTCCAGAGTTGCTTTGGCTGTAGACCGCTATGTCAAGCCTGGTCATGAATATGAGGCTCCAAGTATTTTGGTATATTTGCATGTGGACAGTTAATGTAGTTGAGGTTTTTGTTTGTTTTTGTTTTTGGTCCTTGGGCTTGAATTCAGGGTCTGGATGCTATCACTTAGCCTTTTCTTTTTCTTTTTTGGTCAGTCATGGGGCTTGAACTCTGGGCTTGGGCTCTATCCCTGAGCTCTTCAGCTCAAGCGAGAGCTCTACCACTTAAGCCCCAGTACCACTTCCAGTTTTCTGGTTGATAATTGGAGATGACTCTCACAGACTTTCCTGCCTGGGCTGGCTTTGAACTGTAATCCTCAGATCTCAGCCTTCTGAGTAGCTAAGATTACAAGGGTGGGCCATCAATGCCTGGCCCTCCCTTAGCTTTTTGTTGTTGTTGTTGTTGTTTTTGTCGGTTGTGGGGCTTGAACTCTGGGCCTGGGGGCTGTCCCTGAGCTCTTCAGCTCGAGCAAGAGCTCTACCACTTGAGCCATAGCTCCACTTTCATCTTTCTGCTTGTTAATTGGAGGTTAAGTCTCATGGATGTTCCTGCTGGGCTAGCTTCAAACTGATCCCCAGATCGCAGCCTCTAATAGTTAGGATTACAGGTGTGAGCCACTGGTGCCTAGCCAATTCCATCCAATTCTAGTCTTTCCAGAAATCAGGTCTGTAGCAAGTAAACACTATTTGTGGCCGGGCATCAGTAGCTCACACCTGTAATCTTAGCTACTCAGGAGGCTGAGATCTGAGGATCAAGGTTTAAAGCCAACCCAGACAGGAAAGGCTGTGAGACTCCTATCTCCAATTAACCACCAGATGACCAGAAGTGGGGCTATGGCTCAAATGGTAGGGCTCTCGCCTGAGCTGAAAAACCTCAGGGACAGGGCCCAAGCCCAGAGTTCAAGCCCCATGACTGACAAAAAATAACAGTATTTGTAATCCTGGATCATTTAGCAGATCCTTGATTTAGTAATTTTGAAAGGTAGTGACTTGGGCTAGGGATATGGCTTAGTAATAGAGCGCTTGCCTAGCATGCGTGAAGCCCTGGGTTCAATTCCTCAGTACCACATAAACAGAAAAAGCCAGAAGTAGCACTGTGGCTCAAGTGATAGAGTGTTGGCCTTGAGCTGAAGAGCTGAGGGACAGCGCCCAAGCCCAGAATTCAAGCCCCACGACCGACAAAAAAAAAAAAAAAGCCCTGGGTTCAGTTCCTCAAAACCACATAAACAGAAAAGGTTGGAAGTGTGCTGTGGCTCAAATGGTAGAGTGCTGGCCTTGAGCAAAAGAAACTCAAGGACAGTCCTTAGGCCCTGAGATCAAGCCCCAGAACTGGCACCAAAAAAAAAAAGTAGTGACTTGTCTTTTAATTATTGTAGCTACTTCTGGATAAAATTCTTATTACAGAGATAATATTAACTATAAGAATATATATTTTTAAACTGTAGAGTGAAAATTGACTACGATTTGTGTACATATTCAAGAAATTCTCATCAGTAATTATCTTCAAACATTAATAAAAGTCTTACAGAAAGATCAGAAGTCACCATTGTCACTGTCACTCTAAATGCAGTCTGAAAATGCAGACATAGAGAAGGGGAAAGGAGAATGCTAAGGGAGGGTGAGCTTGCTTAGAATATATTGCAAATATATGTGGAAATATAACAGATCCCCTCTGTATAATGTAAACTCATATAGGTGATAGGTACAGAGAAGTGATAACCATGTGGAGAAAGGATATTGGATACTGCCTATTTAACTCAATAAATACTATTTTTTATTGTTGTAAGACCAGGACTCAAACTTAGTACCTGATGTTCAGTGGCTAGTGCTCTCCAATCCCAATCATTACTATTTTTTACTTTCATTTTTCTGTTAAATATAGGAAAAGAAGCAGTGAATAGGAATGGAATATCAAGTGGAACATCAAAACTTGGCTGGGCACTGGTGGCTCACATTTGTAATCCTAGCTACTCTGGAGGCTCATATCTGAGGATCCTGGTTTGAAGCCAAGCCCAGGCAGGAAAGTCTGTGAAATTCTTTATCTCCAATTAACCAGCAAAAGACCAGAAATGGAGCTGTGATTCAAGTGGTAGAGCACCGGTCTTGAGTAAAAAAAAAACCAAGAATGTAAGGCCTTCAGTTCATCAAGTCCCACTACTGGCCAAAAAAAAAAAGGCCTGAAATGTTTTGAGAGGCTTGCACAATTTCAGTTTGAGCCTAGTGACACTAGTCTTAGGAAAAACTTGAAAGTGTGTCACATTTAGTGGAAATCACTAAGTTCTGCCAGATACCGTGTAATGGAGCCAGGGCCTAGCTTTAATCCCCACCACCAATAAAAAAGAAAAACCAGTAGTCAATGGCTCATGCTACTAGCTACTCAGGAGCTGTAATTTGAGGATCTTGGTTCAAAGCCAGCCTAGGCAAGAAAGTCCATGAGACTCATCTCCAATGAAGGAGCAAAAAGCAAGAAGTGGAAGTGAGTGGGTCGTGGTAGCTCATGCCTACAATCCTAGCTACACAAGAGGCTGAGATCTGAGGATCACGGGTCAAAGACAGCCAGCACAGGAAAGGCTGTGAAGCTCTTATCTCCAATAAACCACTCAGAAAACCAGAAGTGGCTCTGGGCTCAAGTGCTAGCCTTGAGCTGAAGAGCTCAGGGACAGCACCCAGGCCTAGAGTTCAAGCCCCACGACCGACAAAGTGGAAGTGTGCCTCAAGTGGTAGAGTACCAGCCTTGGGCAATAAAGCTAAGATAGTACCGAGTCCCTGAGTTCAAACCCCAAGACTGGCACAAAAAGAAAAACAAAAATCTCCAAACCCATGCCGGGCGCTGGTGGCTCACACCTGTAATCCTAGCTACTCGGGAGGCTGAGATCTGAGGATCGCGGTTCAAAGCCAGCCCGGGCAGGAGAGACCGTGAGACTCCTATCTCCAATAAACCACCAGAAAACCGGAAGTGGCGCTGTAGCTCAAGTGGTAGAGCGCTCGCCTTGAACTGAAGAGCTGAGGGACAGCGCCCGGGCCCAGAGTTCAAGCCCCACGGCTGACCAAAAAAAAAAAAAATCTCCAAACCCACAGTTTTAAATGTCAACTTATACAAAATGTCATCATTTAAAACATATCAAAAGAGCTGACTTTCTGGCATGCAATTAGGAAAAAAAAGAGCTCAAGTGATCTTGCTCAATCTAGTCACTTCAAAAGAAAGTCCCCTAAATTCCTGGCATTAGTCAGCTTCCACTTGAATGAGCCACACTTGTGATTTCCTCTCACTACAGGCCTCACTGCTAAGCAGAGGGAAAAGCCTAGTGCTGACATTCAATTCAGCAGAAACAGCAATATTTAAAAAAGGAAACAGCAGTGCATGTGCAAATCCACTGAAGGAGGGAGGGAGTCGGGGCTGGTGTGAGCTGGGCTGAATTAAGCCATCCTGGCTTTCAATATGCTCTTCCTT